TTCTGGGAGTTGAAGTCCACTCATCTTAAAGTGGCCAGGTTTGGACAACACTGGTTTAGAGAAACCGCAGGAGCGTCCTGCCCATTTGTCGTCTGTATCTTTCATGGTGGCTAAACTGATGTGGAGAATGAAGGTTCCTCATGGTAACTTGCATGGAAAAATGGAACTTATGACAATCTCATTTAAAGAAGGATGTCTTTCTTGTTACTCCATTCAGCTCTCAGACCGAATCCATTCTCCCATTTAGCTTAAATCCACTCGGAATATTGCCCCATTTATCTGAACCACAGTGAAATAGCAGTTTATTTCCACACAGCTCTGTGTGTCTAAAATAGGCCAATTCAGGATCAGTTGTGGCCATGTGAAAATATATATCCTTCTGGCTTTCTGTCCAGGGTATAATTACATGCTGTGGAGCACATTTTTCCTCAAGCATGGAACTGAGTTTCCCTTATTCATTATGATGAAAAATCAGACTTATTAATCCTGGACCTTATTTATTTATTTATATTTTAATGAATTGTGAAAAATGCATGCTGCAAAGAAACAGCTTACATCTTCATCTTTATTTCTAAGAATGCCCATAGTATATACTTCGTATGCCAGTGCTTTGATTGGAAATGTACGCGTCTGCCTAAGAGAGGATGAAAATAAAAGAGGTGGCAGGGAGCACCTTCCTGGAGAGGGTGACAGCGCTTGAGGAAATCAGTGCTGTGTAGCTGTTGGTGTCCTCCCAGGGCGACCTATTATGAATGAGCATGTTCCATCAGCCAACGTGTCTACAACACATTCTCAAAATTCCAGATTTGCCATCTGCTTCAAAAGATGTAGATCCCTACTGTGGACTTTTAATAGTTCTGCAGAAAGAAAAAAATTAATTCTTTCCCCCCTCCAGATTAACACTGAAACTGGTGTTTAACCTGGTTGCAGCATTCTGCTCATTGCCTTCTGTTAGACGGCTATATGACAGGCTAGGTATGGAATCTTAGGAAAGTGTAAGAGGCAGGAATATAGAGTCCATGCATTCTTGAGAAACTCTCTTTAGCCTGATACCCAGAAATGTATTTCCTTATCAAAAACAAGGGGTTACAGTAAGGTATACCTATACTTCTTATTTAGAACATTCCAAAGAGATGTGAGAGCCATCCTGTGATTTACACCAGATTACAGCTGTTGCTAGGGAGGCTGAAGAAATCCATGGAGTGTAAATATGACAGGAACGGAATTTGCTCTTTGTATTTGCTGGATATCTTCAGGGCTGGATTGGATCATGCAGTTCTTTTCTGGCAGGGTTCAATCTCCTGAGGAATAACTCGGCAAGTAGATATTTCTGATGACATCGTAACTGCAGATTAATTCCATAATTGCCACTTCCCAGAATGCAGGCCATTCTGTTAGCTTTCATTGTGTTTTTCTGTGATTTTCTTCTAGATGTTAGGGATTGTATTCTGACTTTTATCAACTGCTTTGGGTTGAACAGGCTGAAGTAACCAAAAAGTCTAACAAATCAATAACAGAGTAACGATGCCTTGCATGAGAAACCAGTTAGATTTTTAATTTCTTTCTTCATTTATTTCCTGTACCACTGTTCCTGCCAGAGGAACATAGAAAGCAGTGACAAGTTGCTGATGATGTTTGATTTAAAATCAAATGTAAACCATTGCAACAAAACCAGTAATGACTGAAAACAGTAAATTCAGGGGCAGTGGTCATCGCTTCTTTTTTGCAGCATGTCAAAGTCCGTAGATCTGAAGATGATTCTGGATTGCTTTCAAACTGCTTTTAAGGGCCTGAGGAATGGAAGTGGGGGCAGCAGGAAGCCTTTTTGCTTGGGAAAAATTACAGAAAGCGAACCATAGTGTTTTTAGTAAATAATTAGGATTGTATATTTTCTTGCCGTATGAATAGATATGTTGGAGTGATTTCTATTTTATGTCTTCCAGAGGAGATTAAAAACCCCAGCAGAAACATTCTTTGGACTGTGATGACTGCACTTCCTTTAGTCATCGTTTTCTATTTGCTGGTAAACATCTCATATCTGACAGTTCTCACGCCAAAGGAAATTGTTTCCTCAGGTACAGCTGGGGGTCTGCATTCTTGATTCAAAAAGAGTAATTATAATACCTACAATCGATATAACAAAGAATTCACTAGACAAGTTCAGACAAATCAGAGGCAATGTCCCCACTTGCACTCAACTGTGGCACAAATATTCTTCTGGCTGCACCCCTATCACATTGCTTTCAACCCGTCTCCCAACCCGTGAGACAGACTTAAATTGTTCTTGGCTATAACAAAACAATGCAATGACAGCTGTTATCAAGCCTGCTACATTTGGCCACCCACTCCACTGGAGGTAAAGTCAGATGACCAGCTGTCGGTGGGAGCAGAGAGATGCTTATTAAGTCCTTTCACGCTGATGGGGACATGCCTCCTCCCCTACGGTCTCAGTCAGACTGACCTGCCACCATTCTGCTGGCGTCTCCCTGAGGAGCTGAGTAGAACAGGGTTGTCCTGGAGGCCCTTGAGATTCCAGTAAGAAAGGTAGAGGGGTGTGTTGTTAGCACTGGGGTTCCTTTGGTCTTCTGTTGCCAATCCTGGTCCAGCTGGGTGTAGATGGTTTCCTGTCACAGGCACACATCTCCCTCCACAATAGGACTTGTGGTTGTCACCATTTTGAATCCTCAATGAAATGGTGGGGGGTAAATTTAAAGGGTGGTCTTTCAGGATCGCACTGTAGCATTAAACTGTTCAGCCAGAGGTGCTGTAAGTCAGGGTTCCTCAACCTTGGCGACTTGAAGATGTGTGGACTTCAACTCCCAGAATTCCCCAGCTTGAGTTGAAGTCCACACATCTTCAAGTCACCAAGGTTGAGGAACCCTGCTATAAGCACTTTAACTTGATTGCTTTCACCAGTCCAGTGTAAGGCTGAAATGACTGAATGTTGAAACAACAAGACTTCATTCCTTCATTGCTTCCCAAACAGAACCCAGAGGAATCTGCGAGTTAACATTTGTTATCTATGTACAGACAGGCAAGGCAGGGCCGGTATATTCTATATAGAGCTGCTGCTTATGCTCCCTTGGGCTCCCTTGATGATTCCAAACTGTTTTCCTGGATCTTTATTCAACACGTAGATCTTTATGGAAAGAATGGAAAAGGGCACAGAAAGGAGCCTAGAGATGAGATCCAGGCCCCCATTCCTGCTGCGGGGTGCATGTATGTAATTGGCAGATGCTTTGCCCACTGACTGGAGTTATGTTGAAGAGGAAGGCAGCAAAGCCAAAGGATTAAACTAATTGCTTTGCCTGTCCTGTGCATGTTTGATAATGAGCCAGAAGAGAGGCTGTTTAGGGATCAGCAATGGGGTCAGCAAACTTCAGGCCAGTGTAGTATATTTTAAAAAACCTGTATTTGGGGGTGCTTTATTAAAGAACTTATTAGTCCAGTTGAAGGTATAGTTCTAGGCTTTTGATTTCTAGTTTTTCTGTAATGTATATGTTTTATATTTTCTAGTTCCACCATTCTGTTTGCCATCATATTCCATTGACTTGAACTATACAGAATTCTAGCAGATGCTTCATCTTTCTCCAGGACAACTTCTGATAGCAATTCTGTAATGAAACTTTCCCATAAGTCACGTATGACTCTTGGTGAAGAGAGGGTTGCATACAAATCATTTTGTCGATAACAGTATGGAAATGCTTTACCATTGCCTCCTTTTGGGATGGATTTTTTAAAAATTTGCCAATCTAATGACCAGACATGGAATTTCCTGGTGGTCTCCCTTACAGCAAGATTACCTAATCTTGTAAAGTGGTTACCTGCTGTGGGCACCACTTTTGGTATAGCTCAGTGTTGTCCAAACTTGGCCACTTTAAGATGAGTGGACTTCAACTCCCAGAACATGCTGGCTGGGGAATTCTGGGAGTTGAAGTCCACTCATCTACCAGTGTTGTCCAAACTTGACCACTTTAAGATGAGTGGACTTCAACTCCCAGAACATGCTGGCTGGGGAATTCTGGGAGTTGAAGTCCACTCATCTACCAGTGTTGTCCAAACTTGACCACTTTAAGATGAGTGGACTTCAACTCCCAGAACATGCTGGCTGGGGAATTCTGGGAGTTGAAGTCCACTCATCTTAAAGTGGTCAAGTTTGGACAACACTGGTATAGCTGTTAAAAGGCAAAGGATTACTGAGCTATATGCAGTCTTGGAATTCCAAACAATGTTGCCTCAGTATTATGGAGCCAAACCTTATTTGTTCTCCAAAGTTCACTAAAGCCCATTAAGGTTCATTAATATATCAAGCTGTGTGTGATATATTAAGGAAAGCTGTTTAGCCTTTACAAATAATCTGTTAATGATGCTGATATTTCCTTTCAGTTGTTGTGGCAGTCACGTGGGCTGAGAGAGTGATCCCTTCATTTGCTTGGATAATTCCTGCATCTGTGGCTATTTCTATATTTGGTGCCCTCAATGGCAGCACGTTCACTTTTGGACGGTTGAGCTACGCTGCGAGTCAATCCGGACACTTGCCCATTATAGTATCCATGCTTAATGTCCACCATTCTACTCCAGCACCAGCCATGATTTTGTCCACTGTTATTGCAACTACTTTTCTCATTTCATCAGATCTCATTGCTTTAATGAATTATTTTGGATTCTCCATTTGGCTCATGACTGGACTAACATGCACTAGCCTCATTGTCCTCCGGTTCCGAGAGCCTAATCTACACCGGCCGTACAAGGTACATAGAAAGAGATGGAAATGTGTAATTAGGTTTTCTAATTGCATCCTGTTATACGTAATGTATGGGTCTGGAAATCTTTGAAGAGTTGGTCAGTCAACCTAAGCAGACCCAGTTCCATTGTTGCCAGTGGAATAGATGAACAAAGGAAGCTATTTTGTATTGAATCAGATCACACAACCGTCTTATCCCAGCAGTGTATATTGGCAATTACAAGTCCCCAGGTTCTCAGGATTTTCCATCCCCTATTAGCTGATCCTTTGGACTGAAATGCCAGGAATTGAATCTGTGATTCTCTGCAGACAGCTCATTTGTCCTTCTGTTGAGCTACTGTAGTTCACCCTGCTATCTTCAAATGTATATATGTACTAAATTAATTGAACTGATATGGCTTGCATAATCCTAATATTTATAAATAAGAGATGGACCTATCTAGGAAAATGCATGCAGTTATCAGGGAGTAAATGTTATTTGTAATGTTAGCAAGAGATCATGGATGCTTCTAGTTGAAGCTTTTATGCCTTAATTGTCCTTCCTCGTTTTAAGAATTTTATGGGGGCTTCCTTTTGGGTTGAAATTGGCCTCATTATCCATCTTTTTTCTTTAAACAATTCCATGAAGGAGAAGAAGACAGAATAGCCCGTGCATGGAGAAGAGCCGAGTAATGTGTTGAAGGAGGAAAGTTCTGCTTCCTTCATGGCCTGAGAGGGGAGCACAATTTTGATAGGCGAGATGAGAGATCTTAGAGGCTCGCTCTCACTCAAAAAGCAAGCCATGTTTGAGTTATGTTCCAGACTCACATTACCAGAATTCTTTATTAAGTCAAGAGAGAAGGGTTGCTGCAACTGACAAAAGAAATGTAGTCACAAGTCCAGGTGACTGCAGGGGCTCCCTTTGCCAGCAATATGGCAACAGGTATAGAGGATGTCATTTTCTAGCTTCTGGCACTTAAGGTGTAAATGGAATGGTTGCCCACTCCATTGGAGGGAAGACATCCAGAGATCAATCAGCTCTCTTTGAGAGTGAGATTGGGGAGCTGTAGGGAGACCTGAGCCCATAAGTTTCACTTAGGTGTGTCCCCAATTTATTTAAAAAAGCATCTGTCCAAGGATTTGACTAGTCTGAAATTGAGCTTTTCTCTAAGCGTCCCTCCATCACTTGTAGAACTTCTGTTAATGCACATAACTTTCGTACAATTCTCTTTTCCCTACCATTTGTAGCATTAGACCAGATCCATGTGCATAGTAGGGAGGTATGTGACCTGCCTGCACTTCTAGAGAGAAGCACAGGGACCAAGAGTTGTTTTCCCTATTCTGTGATGGCAGGGAAGTACATGGCCAGCTCAGTTGACTGTCTGGGAAGAGTTAAGCAGTCAGCAAGAAAAGATGGCCATGCGTGGAATCAGGATCTGGATCCTATGCTGTACCAAGACTCAAGTCAGCTGTAGTCAGTGAGAGAGTAGCCAATAATTTCCCACTTTCTGACTTGTGTTATCAAGCTGCTTGATTGTCCGTAACTCCCCTTTGTCTCCTTATTCCCTATTCTCCTATTCCACACTGGCTCGGGAATTCTGGGAGTTGAAGTTTCCAAGTTTGAAAAACACTGATGTAAACTGTAGCGAGGCAGAAATTCCACCAATTAACTGTCTTGACAGGTGAACAGAACTAATTGTATACTTATGCCCCCATAACTAATTTTTTGGTTGATTCTGACTACTTCTAACCCAGTTTCAGGCATTCCTTCTTAGATAGGAAAAATACATATGGAGCTGACATGTGCTAGTAACCTATGCCATGATCTACTGTACATACATTTGTTTCTGTGTCTGAAGCAAAATGATATACATACAACTCAGTATGTGGAAAGACTACATACCTAAGCATGGCTTGTTTGAAACAGAAATAAATATAAGCAAGTCAGATTCCAAGTAGTACTGATTTCCCTCTTTTGAGCAATGCTTTCTCCGGAAACATGTTATAACTGTGACGGGATCTGAGAGGCACAAGAGCACTGTCTGATGTTTGCCAATATGACACCCCTGTGAATTCCAAGGTTTCTAGCGAACTTTTCACATTGTCTCTGTTGCATTGCTCCACTGTCAAGATTACAGTAACAGGCATATCAAGTGCAGAAAGAATGAGCTGGGATGATGTGGAAGTCCTGTCCATGTATCCTGAAAAACATTCCAGTAGAAATGCTGATGGAGAGGCAACAGAGAATAGGTATAGAGCAGTGGGTCGTAGACAGCAGTGCTAGGCAAACATGGAGACCATCCCACAACATTGTAGTGCTAAGACAGAAATAGATCTTACTTTTTAATTCAGTTACAAGAGGAACAAGGAGTGAGGGTGCTATAGGCAAAATACCGTTCAGTTACAAGCAGATGGTCCAGAAGTAGAAATGCGTCATCTGTAGTCCTGAATCCTCCACAGTTAATCCTTGCAGAGTTGTGTCTCTTCCTACTCAATCTCCCTGTGTGAGGAGGGTGTGGGTGTTCTGCAGGGGTCCTCTTCGGGAAGCTCTTTTATTAGGCAACCGGATCAGAAGTAGCAATCCCAGCCAGCCACGACATTGTAATTGATCTATGCAGGATCAGCTTGTAGTGAGACATAGATTGGATTCAGGCGTCACTTAAAGCCATGATTTATTCTCTCTCTGCAAAATGCGATCTATAAACCATGGTTTGCAAAGCAGAGTGGCAGAGTTCATGCAACACGCAAAGCCGTAATGGGGTAGAATACTATGTGGGAATAACCTTTGGAGACCAGAAGGAGAGCCACAGACTGGACAACTGGTACATAAAAGATATCTCAACCCACAGAAGGAGAGGAGGCAGGGAAGGGGAAACATTTCAGAAGGGACCCTCCCTAGTTTTTCCGAGAATAAGAGGAAAGAGGGGGAGAAACACTATCCGTCTTGCAAGGTTCTATTAATATAATCGTACAATAAAAATACAGCTAGGACTCCTGGTTGTACTTCTTGCCTGAACTACCTCACAGGGCCAACATGTGATTTACTTGGTAAAGGCTTAGCATGTTGCGTGAACCCTACCTAAATATTATCTTGGAATAGTTGGGTGCTTATGCTCCTGCTCCTGGGCCCTGGATTGGAAAACCAAATTGGTGGAGTCCCTTAAACAAAGTGTGACAGCTGACCTGCTACATCAGTGTTGTCCAAACATTGCCACCTTTATAATAATGGGGTTTCACTACCCCAAAATTCCCCCCCCCACCTTTTTGTGGGTGTAGTACCCCCCTCTTATAAAAGGCGAAAATTGG